TCCAAGACCCTCATCGAAAAAGCCCCTTTAGTATAATCCATTTAATAAAATACACACGCGATCTTCAGCTCGTTAAATGACGGAACAATCCCAGAAAACTCGTGAATGTCCATGTAGTAGAGACACAACAGATGCGCTGGTTATTTTGCAGGGTGGATTTTAAAAAAAATAACCTGTAGCAGTTTTAGCGATACATTTTCACGCTAGGTTTACCCTCACTTTCTCTCGCTTCTATTTCTTTCAGTCCGCCATTATTGGAAATCTTTCAGCGTTCTATGGCACGCCGCGGGGGTCTTTTACAGGAAAATTACGCGCATGTTTATTTACTACTGCATCACGATTTTAAAATAGTGTTTTCTAAGTCACTAAATAACACGAACATACTACTAGTGAATTATCGAATCATCACGCACAAAACCAAGTTTTAGTAATTAATTAAGTCAGCGAATAAAATCATCTTTGATTAATATCCAATCAACAGGCGAGGGTCGATAAACATGCTGTAGTTACACACGATCGATAACAACGCATCAGTTCGTGCATACAGCTGCGTCTCAAAACAACATGGTGGCGTCGCTAGGGTGGTGCAAAGTGTGAGGGGGGGGGGGGTTTGAATTTAAAAAATAATGTACATGGATGGGGTGGGCAAAAAAAATAAAGCCGCCCCCTTTTAAAAATTATTTAAATAGAGAAACATTACACAACGGTGCCAAATTATCCTCTTCGGGCGCTAACATGCCCGTCCATGGGCGCAAAATTTTACGAGATAGTTATATTTTAGCGGAAATAATAAAGACGATTTTTTTTTTACATTTCAGAGTGGGAAAAAAACAATTTATCAAATTTTAGCGGGTAATAATTTACTTTAATTAATTGTATTTCAGCGAAAAAAAAATTTCTAACATCTTAGCGAGGAATAATAAGGCACTTTGTTATATTTTAGAAAAAAAAATAACCCAACTAAATACGCGTAAAAATATCAAATTACAAATATATTACATTACCGTGTGAGCCATCGATTTACTTGATCGAATGATCAAACAATTGATCCAATAATCAATCAGCCATAACATATACAAACTCGAAACGCCCAACATAATTTTTTATATTTTATATATTTTTTTAACTTTTTTTTTATATACAAGGTGTTGAAAAGAACATTCAGGCGATGTCAGTCTTATTAAATCGATTTTTTGTGTGTACAGGATTATGAAGTATTAAGATCAAGGCAAAGACAATGGCTCAGTATAGGTCAGAATAGGTTAGTTATTGGCTAGGCATAGGTAAGTTAGTGCCTAGGCATGGGTCAGTTAGTGACTAGGTATAAGTCAGTGACTAGCAGTATGTACAAAAACCCAGCTGCCAGACACGGATCTGTAAAACATAAGCTCAAAGCAAGAACAAAAGCCTTGAAAACTTGAAACTTGACCAAAACGGAATACCATAATTCCACGAGATCTCTGAATGTTCACATCCCAATTCCAGAGCAACGAGCGAGGAGATAGGCGAGTGGGTGTGGGACCAGAACCGTTATCGATTCGTGCCCCCTCGCTTGGTGGGCCAGAGGCAACACGCTGACAACGTTATTTCTTTACGCTTGCCGGCCTGAGTGAATTAAAATAAATGAACAAAAACTGGCTTACAAAGATGACCCCGGTGACCCACGGGATACTGGCCTATGTGACGCCACCTCCCCTGGGATGCCCTAGTTCAAATTTTCTTGACCAGTTAGTAGTTTATGTTATACCACGGGGTGCCTAGTAAGACCACAGTGCGATTATTTACGTCACATGTTAAGATGTTACGACACAGGGCGCCTAACTACGATACAGGGCGCCAACTATCACCGCGGGGCTCCTAGAATTACGCCTCGGGGCGTATAGTTTACACACCCGGGCGCCTTAAATTACACTACTTTTGTCTAAGGCGTTACATTGCGGGTAATGCAGAACTGCAACAAGTGTTGTCATGGTTAAAGTCGCGGTGAGGGAGATGATTGTGTATGTGTGTGTGTGTGTGTGTGTGTGTGAAAGGGGATGGGGGGTGGGGTGGGGGGAGGGGGATGATAACAAAGAACAAGTTACTAGTGCACGCCGCTGTGTATGTTAGTGTTTTAGTTCTCAATGTATTCGGCGTTACATTGCGGGTAATTCAGAACTGCAACAAGTTGTCATGTTTTTAGTTCTCAATGTATTCAGCAGAATTTGGTTATCTTTTACTTTTAACACTAAACGTCACTGCAACTATTAAAAAAGACTATTGTACGTGGTTTAAGATGAATAATAAAAATAGAGAATGTATAAAACATATTCGAATACATCCTATTAAAGGGATCAATTCCATAAGATCGATATATAACTCGTATTTGATGAAAGGGGCCCCATCTGCGAAAGTTAAAACCCCCTTTGATATCATAGATCATGTAACCCAACATTGATGTTTATTATTGCCTTATAACATTAAGGTACGGACTTACATCCTGTAAGAAAAAACCCAAACATCAATCGATTTTTTCCCCACTCAGGAAACGCTTTATACTGCCTACAACTATAAAGAAAAACCACCCCGGACGAGAGTAGCACAAGGGGTTTAATTTCTCAGACCGGCTGCAGCCCACACACATATAACCATGAGTCACCCGACAATCTCACAGACTAAGCGTTAATTACGAAAAGGCCCAATTATTTTTACATAACTTCTTTTTCTCTAGACAATCGCCACACGACGACGGCAAATCAAATCAACAAACCGCCTGACGTAGTTTTGTGTTCTCCCGACGAACAACAGAGATCGATGGACTCGATCATTCTTGGAATTATTAGCCAGCAGGCAACGGAGACAAAATCTCGTGAATTTTTATTCAAAATTTTCAGCTGCATACTACAACACTTAAGTTTTTGTCTTTTGAGAAAAGTGTTATTTTAAAAAAATAATGGTATAAATATTATATATATATATATATATATATATATATATATATATATATATATATATAATAGATTGGGTTTAATTGTACATTATATATATATATATATATATATATATATATATATATATATATATATATATATATATATATATATATATATATATATATATATATATATATATATAAGATTGGGTTTAATTGTTAGAATTTAAAAAAAAAATATTCCGTCAAAGACCTAAGCAATATACTTGTTGCGTTTGTTCCTCCTACGATTTAAAAATCAAGCTAGTTGCGTGGGCTGTAGAAGCGTGTCTACAAGGGCTCATAAAAGAAGCATAAGCAACGGCAGCAAAGCTCCAGTAAATGAGTAAGATTAAAACCGACATCGCCAGTTTACTGAGGAATTGCAGTTCTAAATAACTCCAGCCCTCGCCCTTGCGCTCGGTTCTTGAAAGCAACGAGAGGGGATCGAATTGACCTAGACGTGAGCGGCGACCCCCATTTGCAGAGGTTATAATTTCTGATAGGTCACTCACCACTTAGGATCACGTTTGGGTCACGTTGTTCATCGGACGTGAATGTGGCGGTTTGGGTGATTTTTGGAGCTAGTTCCCGCAAAATATTTCCCGGACTATGCATCGGAAAGTGCAGTCCGGTTCCGGCACCCGGAAAGTACTTGCGGGTCGGGTGGCGGAGAACGATTTCCGCGGAAGACTTACCATGCTAGGCACAGATTAAACTGTGCAGGGCCTAGTATCCATGTATAACGTATACCTGTTATGCAAACTTCGGATGCGTCACCAGGCCGAAAATAAATCTTGAAGTAAGTTAAAAAATTTTAGTCAGGGGATATTCGTATAATAGTGTAATGGGGCGTTCGTATTACAGTGTAATGGGGCGTGTATGTTTCGGGGTGGTTTGGCGTGGGTCGTTTGAGTTACGGGGTGGGGCGTTCAAGTAACATGGTAAAGGGGGCGTTCTTAAATCTGGGGGTCTAAGAACTTTGTGTTATCTAATGGGTGGGGGCGTGTGCGTAAGGGGGGGGGGGCGTTTGTGTAGGGGGGGACGACGTTTGTGTCGGGGGGGGGGCGTCTGTGTAAGTGGGGTGTGCTTAAGCCAAAATAACTTTGATGTGCTTATGTAACTGGGTGGAGGATGCTCTTGAAACTCCAAAACTAGCCAATGGCAACACTGCAAACTTAATGTTAATTTTAGTACTGCTAACTACCCCACCACCAGCCTCCAGTATTTAGATCTGACGGATATAAGATGATCATGGAACGAACGGTTGGTTAACGAGAAGCGACGGTTAAGACAGGGGCAATAATTAAGGGCGGTAACTAGGTAGATAATGACGTTGTTTTATGGCCAGTTTGTCGGACCACAAACACCAGTCACGTGAGCCTGGGAGTGAGTGCTCATTGATCACGTGTTTAACAGGGAACGTGCGGTCATAGTATACAGGGGAAAGTTGTAGAAAGTTGTATGGGTTTCACAGATAAGAAAAAAGTAAAAAATTGATGACAGAATATTCATTATTCATGAACAATGATTGAAATCATTTCAATTTTAGTTCGTGAGGCTAATTTAATTGGAAGTACACTTAATTTTTAAACACATTGTTATACGAGTATTGCCATAGATGTAATATAGATCGTAGAAGAAAAGACGTTAGCAAAGCGGCACCAACAAAAACTGCCGATCACACCTGAAGCTGTGCAGACAATTTTCACCTAAACAGCATCTTTGGGTGTCCTTGAGGAAGCAGGGCGTACTGTCCAGAGAAACAGATAAACTCTACTTCATCTATCCTAATTTGTAACGCTCCTACCCCCACAATCTTTACTTGATTATTAGAGCATTTCATCAAGAAGATAAAAATAACGTTTTATTTTCTTTTATTTTTTTAATAAACCACACTGCATTTCATATTTTGTTCGTTTTACAGTAAAATAAATAAATAAATAAACAATGGCTTTTTAATAGATAGGACGGGCTGTTGAAACTACAGGTGTGACATATGGTCAGCATTTGCTGATCAAATGTGTTAGGACGATAACGGAAGTCTTACCTCTGGTCAGCGGGCTCCGGGGCGGGTACGACGCCAGCAGGGAGGAGGGCGGCGGCGGGTAGTTGGAGCTGGGCGTGGAGGGGAAGCTGTGCGGGGTGGACGGGTGGCTGTCGTCCGTGCCGGAGCTCTCGATGGAGCCCCGTTCGCTGCCGCCGTTGTTGTTGTTGTACTGGTGCGCCGGGCTGTAGACCGGTCCCCGGCTCAGGAGGTCCGGCACCGGACCGTACATGTGTCCGGTCTTTTTCTGCTGTTGTTGCTGCTGTTGTTGTCTGGCCACCACTGGGGAAATGCATTCGTTACATTGTAAAAAAAAAAAAAAAAAAAAAAAAAAAAATTATATTCCTGTACAGACAAGACGAGCTAAAATATTTATTTAATCAGGGGAGACTACATTTAAAAAACTACTCGTATATTAAAAAAGAATCAATGGCTGAGTTCGGCCATCGGAAAAAAAAAATAACAAGATTCGAGTCCCTCGGGAAATAAAAGCGGAATGAGAAGGAGGGGTTGTTTGGGTCATCGTGGAAAAAAAAAACACGATTGTCTTGTTACCCCCACCCACTCTCTCAATGTGCAATTTTTAAATATATTTTTTATTAAGTAAAGAAGCAATATGCCAAAATCATTTTCAGTTTAGAAAAAAAAAAAAAAAAAAAAAACAAGCTTTGAGTCGCTATAGGACGCCCAAATCTAGCAATGGTCTTGTGTTATTAAATTAACTAACAAAAAATATATTAACCAACAAAAAAATAATTTAATAGTTCTTGCTATTCTCAAAGTATGTATTAATTAATTAAAATAGTTTGCCCAGAAAAAATTCTGCCTTATTATCTTTATTTAAGCACCCCCCCCCCCTTGGGGCCATGCTACAGAAATCCTAACTCACCTTTACTATCAATGAGCACGATATGATTGGCAGGAAACATGCCTGTCTTTGCCATCCTGCCCTCGTGGAAAACATACCCTCGCCATATCCCGTCGGTCTTCTGCTCAAGCACCTGTAGAGACACAAACAAAAAACCTGTAGCCAAAAAAATCTAAACCTTAGCCCTAACGTAACGAACGCGCACACGGCATGACGTTGATAAACAATTCAACAACGTACAACTTCCGGTCAGCTGCAGGGGGAGAGCCAACACAAAATTAAACTTTCAATGAATCCAAACTGATTCGGCAAACCGGAAATGAAATATCTCGCCTGCCAAACGTTTTACAGCACTCGTAAATGCTCGGGGATTGAATCAAATTGCTTCCCTTTACGTGACGGAATTAAAAAAAACAACCCACACCGATGCACCTATGTTGTAATTATTTTAATTCACAGGTGCGTCAATCGAATGCAACAAACTAACGATTCCATTCCGTTTAACAAAATTCTCTTCTAAATAAAAAAAAAAATCATCTCTAAACTCAAGGCAACATTTCAGTTTTTATTTACAATTAATCGCTTATAATAATTACTTATAGATCTAATAATTATTGATGGGTGAACAAAATTCTTTTCTAAATAACCAAAAAGAAAAAAAAATCAACTCTAAACTCAAGGCACCATTTCAGTTGGTTTTTTTTTTACAATTAATCGCTTATAATAATTACTTATAGATCTAATAATTATAGATGGGTGAAGTCTACAGGTGTTTTCAAGTTAAACAAAAAAAAAAAACAACAACAAACAAACGCTTGAGGCAGTTTAGAGTAAGGTAGGATGAAGATGTTCACATGGACAGCCGGACGTAATTAGCTGCAGTAAATGTGTTTAATATTCTCTCATAAATACTTCAAGGCCATTTCAAAATCTCACGCCGTGTCTAGTCTATGTATTGAAGCACGTGCCACGCGCGAGGTTGTGGTGAGTAAAACAGGAGCATATGTGAACTCTTGTGCCGCTAAAGCAAGGGGAGCACCTAGTAGCACAGACGCCCTTATCACTCTGGGAAACCCAATAATGCAGACGCCCTAAAACACGGGAACACCCAATATTATGGACGCCCTAAAACACGGAAGAACCCAATAACACGGACGCCCTCGCGACACCCAATATTATGGACGCCCTAAAACACGGGAACACCCAATATTATGGACGCTTTTAAACACGGAAGCACCCAGTAACACGAACGCCATACAACAAGGGAGCACCCAATCACACGGACGCTCCTACAACACAGGAGGACCCATTAACACAACCGCCCATACGACACGGTTGCACCCAATCACACGGACGCCCCTACGGTAAGGGAGCACCCAATCACACGGACGCCCGTACCTCCGATGATCTACTTCCTACTGTACAACCCTCAGCGAAGTGCACACTGCTTTGATCCATTTACGGGCTGGGCGGCTGAAGAAAAACGTACCCGGAAATGGCGTAAGAGATTTTGTAGTTTGCGGGGGTTGTAGGCCTATGGCTTTTTATTTGTAGACAGCCCTACGGCAGCTCGGAGTCCAGACATAAAAACAGAAGACAAGTGGAAGAAGGCGGTGTAGCAGGCCAAAATCCTTCAACTCATGTAGAGATGGATGGAATTTTTTTCTTCTTCTACTTTACGTTTTGTTCGCAAGTTTGGAAGAATGCGCAATGGGAAAATAAACAGTGAAAACTGCGCAAACCGAGAAACGCGTAAATAAAAACTAATTATACTCAGTGTTTCTTCCAGACTTTTTTCTCCGGGGGGCACTTGAAATTTTCGGGGGGGGGGGGGGGGCGGTAGATTTTCTACGGGGGGGGGGGGGGGCGGACACTGTTAAAAGTATATATTTTCTATATAAATTATATAAATTTCATTTTGTTCGGGGGGGGGGCGGTAAAAATTTTTAGGGGGGGGGGGGGGGGGGAGAGAGATGCCTGGAAGAAACTCTGGTTATGTTTTGGTCATCGTAAAAGGACAATTTTTTTTATGCTACAGTGTACACGTGGTCATTCATTTATTTAAAATTTTAAGTAAATAAAAGATACCCATGCGTATTTTTATTTGTGCGCAGTCTTCCGTTGCGAATTTTTTTCAGTCACCCTTTTTAACATGTACGATTACTACTACTCCATTCTCTCAAGAATTTTACTGTTTTTCTTTTGAAATTCGGCACACTAAAACTCTTTTCTTGATTAAAAACTCGTGGGATAAGGGGGAAGGTGGGTGGAACGGCAGTAGGAACAAGGGGCGGTAAAAATCACGTTAGTTTCACATAATGTTAGATTTAGATATGGAGGGGGTGGGTGGGCAAGAATGGGCTAACGTGGTGCGGCCCTGGTGGTAAAGCACGTCTCTGCTGCTACCCATCCACTACTCACCCACCCATCCAACCACCCATTTACTCATCAATTTAGTTATTGATATGATAGAGTGCAACAATCCTATATCCTGGGACCAGGGGTACCTTCAGATATTTTTTATCTCAGGGACTACGGTGGGTGGGTGGAGTGTACTTAACATTTCCGGGAGGGGGGTGGGGAGGGGCAGCGGACTCTAGTTAAAATGGTCAATGTATATTTCTTCCACATAAATTTTATGTTTTCATTAAGCCCTCCTACCTTCCCACACCCCACCAAAAAGATGCCTGAAAGAAACACCGCGTGGGACACCATTACGCTAAACTAACTCAAATAAATGTATATCAAAATACTTTTTAAATTATAAAAAATAATAATAATACAAAAAAATAATACATCCAATGATTGCAATTGGTTGTGTGGGGGTGAGGGCAGAAATGACCAAATTTTGAGACACATGAGAGGCGGATAAAGTGAGGAGGAGCGGAGGAGATAACCGTTAATTACGGATATAAAACTAAACGCACATGCCATCTGTTTAACATCGACGTAATATACCGCGAACATCAAGTTAGGAACAAAATAAAATATAATTTAATCACGTAAAAAACAAAATCGATCCTTCTATATATATTTCTACGCTCGTCACGCATGAGTGGTTCCGCCGGCCAGCAAGTCAACCCGTGCGTGAGCATTGATTCCGTGGAAGGCGCGTGTGTTTTAATGCAATCAGCCGCTCACTAGATCCCAGTTGCTTATCATGACCAGCTTCCTGCTCAAGACGGCACCCGCAGCGGGAATTCCGCACTCGACGCTTCCTCGTCTTATACGATATTTCGAGATGACTTGGGCATAAAAATAGATGTGTGTGTGTGAGGGGGGCGGGGTGGGGTGTGGGGGGGGGGGGGGTAATAAATATTTCAGATGTAGGTGGTGTGTCTATTAAATTCAGTGACTTCACCGGGTGTCAGGGGTATCCAGAGTTATTTCAGTAGAAGACGCGTCATTTTTCAGCACAAAGTAAGGCGATGAACACGTGTTTGTAATTGCTATTGAACTATTCAAAACTATTTTTATACAGTCTTAGCCGTGGTTTTTTTTTTAAAGCGCTATCTATCCGCAGAAAAAAAAGTATTTCTGTGAACTTTCTAGACGGGAAATACAAACAACTAAAAACTTAAAAGATCTGTTTATTTTAATTTTTGTAGCGGAAAATCAAAAACACAAAGAGAGAGAGAGAGAAAAAAAAGAGATTAATGCCTCAGTGGATGTTTTTCGCCCTCGCCAGAGCTGCTCAGTTTTTTTAGGAAGGCGATACTTGGGCCGCAACATCTGTCTCGGGATGGGTGGAATCACGCGAGACACTAACTATTTTTTATGTCTTTAATGGCACTTCCGGTGTAAGGGAGCCGATCGCTAAATCAAACAGATTGAAGCAGGACAGTAGAGTAGGTCTGGGCATCGCGGGACTAGGGCTACAGTTCTTGTTACTAGGGCTACAATACATTACGGGGTCAACATGGATAAGGCTACATAATTTAGAAGATATACTGAGACTAAAACTAGAGGACTTGGCGAGGGCTTCAGAATATTTCGAGTCCAGTGTTTTAGTATGTTTAAAAGTAGGCTTCTAAACCAAAATATTATCAAGGCCTAAAGGACCTTACTAAAAATTGGCTAAAGTAACTTACTGGACATTGCAGAACTATGGCGGTGGAGGCATAACAACATCAAGACCTAAATGATATTATTGAACAAGGGATAGGCCTACATGACAAAAAGTCAATATACTTAGCATCTATATATATATTCTCTTATGGAATAAAGAAGAGTTTCTCGTCCCCAAGTAACCCCCCCCCCCCACACACACACACACAAACCTTATCCCATGCGATGACTGAGTATATGGCGCAACAACAACATAAGTACCTGTTAGATGTATTCGTGTAACACATTCATCGTCCAGATGTAACTGGTCAACGGGTAATTACTTAGTACAGTACCCAGATAAAAAGGCATTGTGCTGGGAGGAGTGGTACTCGTGGCGTCCATGACACGAGGAAGTGCCGAGGGCGGGTTCAGATAGCCGGCGGACTTGGGGGCTTCCGGTTACCCAAAACAAAAGAAAGGTTTCCAGTGATAAACAGGGAAGTCGTTGTCACATCTGGTGGCGAGGGCTCCAAATTAGTTTTCGGGTTTTGGTTTAAAACAATTTTTTTAAAAGAGTCGTGTAGCTCATTGACTCCCACGTGCGCTCAGGTACTGAAATGTTTTTTTAGCGAGACTAAAGTCTGAGAGTTGTAAACACAATTAGAGTCTACGCAATCCGTAGTGTCAAGTCAAAGAAATGAAGTAATACACAACATGTCACGTGTCACAAACCACGCCCAAGCCAACCACAAAACCATACACTCAGACCAACCACAACACACACGCCAAACAACCACAACGCCATACACTCAGACCAACCACAACACACACGCCAAACAACCACAACACCATACACTTAGACCAACCACAACACACACGCCAAACAACCACAAAACAGACAACCACATACAAACAACCCACAGTGCCACCCCAAAGGTTACGTGGCGCACTCAGCCCGCCACAAAAATACCACACCACACACCAATGAACGAAAAAGACACCACCTCCACACACAAAATCTCTACTTCGGCCTTCTATCCACAATTTAAATTCACCAGTCCTACACGTCATTTGTATACAACA